GTCTCAGCTTCTTCCCCTTCCTGCTGTACCTGTTCAACCCCTTCCCTAACTCATGACCTCCCAAGGCCACTGCAGCTTTACTAATTAGAACTCGCAAATAGTCCAGTTCATTCACCTCAAAACTTCCAGTGAAAGAGTCACCTCCCTCCCCCTATGAGGGCTTGCGTTTATTTACAGGCATACTGAAATTATGTTATTTTTATTACACTGCTTAAGTACCACACCTGAAAAGCCATTTGGGGCTTCTGTGCCTGATGTGCAGATGTGATACTTGAGAGAGCTAATTGTTACCTGCTCTTTGAACCTCTCGATAACTCGCCGTTGTATGGAAACCCTTTCGGGGTGGCACCTTACCAGGAATGTTTGAAGAACGTATGGGCAGGCACAGAGGGATAAAGTGTTCATGGTGACAGACTTCTTGGAGAAAGTCAAATTTGAACTGATGTAAAGTCTGAAAAATCAAAACAAGCAACGGCTCAGTTCACATTAAAACAGGGAAAAAGGTAAGACAGTGCTGCACTACTATTTATGTCTACCTCAAAATTCATACCCACAGCCAACAATGAAACCTTACGGCTTGTTATGCCAAGCAGCATGGATAACAAACACTTGTTTTTTTTCCCCATTATCAAATGAACTTGTCACAATCAAGGTTTTTGGATTCCACAACTATGATTTTTCATTGAAGATGTGTTGATAAATGTAAGCTTCATCCAAGCTAAATATTTAAGGTATATTTAAAGCTACACTGGGTCTTTTGATGGCATATACTATAGCATACAATCATAGTAACGTATCTTCTCCAGTTCACATAAATTTGGAACCAGCATAATTATTATGCCTTTCTTATCCTTTTTTTTTTCTTTCCTCCTTCTTTTTTCGGTCAACCAAATAAGAAGTTTCAGCCATACAGGCCAGATCCAAAAACTTATCGATAGTGGTGGAAACCTCCTCTATTGATGACAGAGAGTTTCAGCTCTTAGGCATTGGGATATTACAATTATTTCCTTAATATCTCCCTTCCAAGAAGCCATCCATGATCTTTTGTGGAGCCTTGCAGCTACCTCAAGAATTTATCATTCCCACTATAATGATGTGCCACTGATATATAAAGATAATACATGACATCCAGTAGTAAACGTTTATTTCCATCTTCTCAGCTCACTGTTCTCAGCGGCAGAAAGAAGTTATTCAGGACTACCAATGTGAAACTGCATTGATCTAGGTCAAACATTTCCCTTGCTTTAGAAAGGACTTGTAAATGTCTTTTATTTGGCCTGTGTTTAAGTCTGTCAGACCCTAAAATTAATTTGTAGCATTCCTGCTGCCACTGTCAGGCTAGGATACCTGGAACACACACTTTTCAGAGTCTACTGAGTAGTGGACAGTGGACAATTTTTCCCTGAAGTCTTTTATTGCGCTGCAGTACCTCGTCAGAAATACAGTAGGACATGCAATTCAGGGCCTAATGGCAAATAAAGAAATGAAGCACCTGAAATGTGCTTCCCAAGAGGAACTGTGACATTTTCAGGGAAAACAACAACAAACTGAATTCTAATGAGGTATTTCAACTTTTGAATAAATATTTCTCAAAACAATGTTTAAATGTCAAAATCTGGAATACTGTGAGGGATATTTCTGTGGAACAGAAATTATGGTGCTTCATTCACAATTACCATAAATTCAAACTGCAATGTTATAGACTGATGCACCCACAAACTATTTATTCAAGCAGAAATATACACTGTTAAATTTTCTGAATAAAGAGGTCAGACTGCAGTATCATCTTTTTGCTACATAAACAATGCAGTTAAAGAAGCAAAAGTCACACAGAAAGCAATCCTGCAGCACATTTAAACAACGGACTCTTGCTTAGGTGTCTGACTGAAGATGAAAACAATGCAAGGCCGGCCTCTCCTTTAGGTCAGAAATCTCAGATTTTATTTTGGGGCTATTGTTTTGAAGCACCACAAAGCCTGTTCCAGTGGTACATCTGTCTCAGCTCCGCAGTGGTTCCGCTTCCACACATCCTGGCAGATGGCTCTGGAGGGATGCTGGGGGCTGGCAATGCGCACGCACTCACTGCTAAGTTCGAAGTGCTAAGTTCTGCTCTGCACACTGACTAATCTCAGGCTTTTTCGGACGTTAATTAAACATCTGTTTCTGTGGTCGAACGTATTTAGGGAAGTTTGAAATGTGGAAAGAGTTTTCAGATTGCATAATACTATTTACAGAATTATAGACTTCAGGCTATGACATTAATATCGAGAGACTCCATTCTACATCTGTTCCAGACATGAGGCGAAAGACCTGAGTGCAGCATGAAGTTGGTTTCAGTAAAAAGCAAAACAGACCTGGATTAATCTCTGCTATTACCTACAAATGCCCAGATCTTCACTAAAGAACTATAAAAAGTTAATGGACAAAAGTTTTGTAAGCTTTTTTGGAAAAGATGAGTCATTCAAAGTGTGTATCTTGAATACATTCTGTTATCTACCATCTTATATGCTCCGGTATTAAAGCTCAGAAACCCAGCCATGGAAGAGAAAAAGCCCGTGACTCATCCTGATGGTTGAAGAGCAAAGGAGTCAAGCTGAATAATCTGGGGACTGCTTGTAGTTTGAAATTTATTGTTCAGGCTATGTCACCGACTACTAGAAGTATTATAGAAGAAATTCAGGCTGCAGGGAATTTTCCTTATAGCAAGCACAAACTAATTTGGAGCAGACGGGCTTTCTTGCATCACCAGTGAGGTAAGAGCATACCATTCATTCAAAGTAACCGAGATGTTACATTCTCTCTTGAAATTACACAATGGTAACTTGTTCATGTGCTCTTACTTTAATCTCCTCAGACAAAATTACTGTCAATTAGTGCAGATATTTATAGACCAAACTACAAGTGTAGTCTCCAAAGAATCAAAGCTTAAATTCAAAGAATTTCTGACTGGTCAGCCTTTTGCATGCTTTGGTCTGAGCCGTATTTGCAGAGTCTGCCTTCACAGGGCTCAGCGAGTAGTTGTTTGGACACAGCTATTTAATCCCAGAAAATGGGATAGATGGCTCAAAACCAAGAGGTTTTAACACATATTTACAGTAAGTGTTTTCACTGACTTGAGTTCTGAGCATGGGGAAGTCATGGAATAGATCATAACTAGTTTCAATATAAAAATATTCTGCTAGCCAGTCACTTCAGTAAAAAACAAACAAAAAAATTCCAAACTATACCTTGCTATCTCCTGTTCCAAACATACTTATATAATTGTTGACAATCCTGAACACAAATCCACGATCCATAAATGTAAAACAGCGCTAAGAAAGAGGAGAAAAAAGAATTATTATTTTACAGCCAAAAAAGCATCCATGGCCTCACTCACCTGGCTGTGTGCCTTGCATCACCTATAACTTGAATCATTTGTGCAGGTGAAGATAGTCTTAAAGCAGGGCAAGGAAAACCAGGGAACTACTGAATCTGGCTTCATTTTTTAATACATTTTCAGTAATAATTAATTAATCAAACTTTTCATTTTCACTGTGTCTACAGTCTAAAATAACTATCACCGTGTAGAGTGCACTAGGAGAAAGCTTATCTAATGAAATTCATTCATGTATTGCAACACTCAATCAGCAGAGGTGGTACGTGATGGGAGCTGACCTGAATATCTCCTTCAGTGACAGAGCAATGACTTTTGAGGACTCAATCCAGCTGCAATACTCGCTGTCTGTGAGCTACGTTATCTCTCTGGGAGCAAATATGCCACTGCGTTACTTTACGATGAGAACACTGCTCTTGCTGACTGATGGGGCTAGATAGCCAGAAGGTGTAAAGGCTTTGAGGGCCTTGGTGCTACAGTCACTGACATTTTTTCCTTGCAGAGTCAGCCTACCAAATATGGAATGCAATCCTGAATTCCCCCCTTCCCTGGTGTTCCTGAACTCTGCAAAACCAACAAAGCCCTGAGCCTTCCCAGCAGCATTCACACACAGCTGCTGCAACCCCAGCCCGGAGAAAGCCATATCATCTCTAACCTATGCAATTCCTGCTGGCAGACTAGATTTGAAAACAAACTGAAGCACAGCCATGTGCCATATCACATAATGCAACATTACTGTCTTCCCAGTTTAGCTGAGTGACACCCAAAAATAGCATGCAAATCTGCAACACCTCCACAGGTGCAGTACCGCACAACTACTGACTCAGCCCCCCCATCTATGCTCCCACCTCAAACCAGCACCATCCTCGAACGATGCAATGCTATGGATAGCTACAGCTTCATGTCAGTATGCCAACAGCAACTAGGGACTCCATATGTATCAGCAACAGAGGCCAACAAAGGGGACAGCAAGTATATTATTTATTTCCCCTATGGACAAAAGGAGAAAAAATCCACCTTCTGTTTGTGGTTGTTTTCCTTATAACCTCACAACAACATTTTATCGCTGGAATACTGCTCTCTCCTAATGCTATACTTCAATTAGTCATAAAACATTTGATCCTGGGTTTCAGTGTGTACTATATACAATATTCTGTACATCATTAATGTACATCATTCCATTAATGGAAAGGGGTGTGGGTGTGTGTCCAGTTTAAATTTAGATTAAGTATCTGGCCATACAACTCATTGAATGGCAATCTTCCCATGCTCCAGAGCTAATTCAGTGCTGGGAAAATAAAAATGATTAAGAAATAGTAGGACAAAATGATAAAATGCAACTCCTTTTAGTGACTTTTCCAAAGCATGTAGGTATTTTCTTATATTTGGTAAATGAAAGAGCATTACAAAGTTAAAAAGTTAGGTTACAGCATTTCACATAATACTTGCAATTTGCTTATTCTGGTTTGTAAAAGTTGCCCACTCTGGTGGTGATTAGGAAATATTAATCCACCCACAGTCATTCAGAGCTGTAATATTTAAAGAAAAAAATACTAGCTCAACTGTAACTACAGTTTCATTGCTTACCAAACTTCTTACCCATTTGAATGTAATGTAAGAATCTGCAAAATTTGGAAACTTGGGCTCTTTGAGAGAATAGGTATAAATGAACCAGAATTGCTATAAAACAGATTTAGATAAAGCTTTTGTGTTCTCAAAGACCCAAGGGCACAGAAAAACTGAACTATAGGTCAACGCTAAACTTGGAAATCGAGCCATCATTCTCTCAGAATTGTTTTTATTCCCTTTGACTAGACTAGATTAGAATAGTCTCAAGTTTGCATTAAGTATGGGGAAATAAGTGTACACGCTGTAATGACAGAACATCTTACCTTGAGAAATTTTGCAGTGCTGTAGTTTGCATTCCTGGTTTCTTCAAGAGCATCTTTGTACTTCCAAACAACATGGTCTGCTAAGACCATCACAAGTGTATCCAGCTCAGTTTGAAACGATTCTGGAAACCTCTGAGTTCGAGAAACCTAAGCAAGGAATAGATCGTCACTTGAGAGTGTACAATGTTGCATAGTAAATCTGAAAATACATTCAGGCCAAGAATGAAGACAATAAAACACAGGTTGTTCAACACGTAAGAAAAATATTCCTAGAGTTCCGTGGATCTATTCTGAGCATAAAAGGAAGAATCTGGTCCACAGGGAAGTGGGAAATCTTATCTTCAGATTCCAGCACAAGTATATTAGGAGCATCTTTGATAATGAGGAAGAAAAGAGGTCAAAGCACTGATCTCCAGCTATGTAATGTTTGCTCAAAGCAAAGTAGAGTTTCTAGATTGTTTATCTGCTGTCTGGCATAACGACCTGGTGGGTAACCAACAGAAATTGGAGAATTCTCATTCTATTCTAACCCATCTGTTACAAAGTCGATGCAACTGTATCTTTGGCCCACCAGTTCTGTACAAGCAAGAACAGGTTTGAGCTCAGCAGGTAATATAATGTTTCTGTGGGTAAAAACAGTATTTTACAAAGTATAACAGTGGGGGGTTTTTTTGACCAGTCAAGAAAAGTCCAGGTGTGCGTATTTCCCAGGATTCCACATTTTATACTTTCCCTAGGAGACTGATTGCCTACTTAATTGAGATCACATATATACTTACCTTTGTTTTGTTAGTATCAACCAAGTGCTGTGCCATTGATTTTAAGATAACTGCAAAGAAGAACCAGGAGTGCTGTTCAAAAGAAGGAAAAAAGAGATCAGGAAAAATGATTTGCTGGTAAATACTTTACGATGCATTACCATTCCTTTTAGATGGACTGCATTTCTCAGTAATGCACAATGATAAACTCCACATGACAAATGAATTAAAGAGCCTAAGCGCCATGTATTTGAGCAATATTGGATCATGGTCTTCAGAGAGCAGAAGCCACCTGAAGCCACTTTCTCACTGTGGCTCTGTGCAATAAGGAGCCCGCAAACACCACTCCTACAATCCTTGCGTTCATGCTGAGCACTATGTTCATTGTTTGTTTGCAGGTAACTGGCAAAAACGCATCAAGCAGAGAACCTCAGAGAACAGAACCTCAGAATAAACTGCATTGCTAGCTCCAGCAGATTGGTAATTTGGCCCAGAATAAGACAGTACTTGTTTAAAAGATAAACAGAGTAGTTCTTCAAATACCATTTATAATAGTGAACAGGTAGGATGCAGATTAACGTCTGTATCCTCACATATCTTAGGAGGGATATATTTCACACATCTCAGGAGATATGTGAAAAAGTTCACTCAAAAAGCTTATGAATTGCAAAAAAAAAAAACCACCCAGCAAACCCAACCCCAAGTACTTTGCACAGCCCAGGTTTCCTGCAGGCCAGCTTTTCTGTTTTCTTCAGCCTATTTGTGCTATTCCAGTGGCTCCACACAGGAAATAGGAACTGGTTCACTCTAAACAGTTGAACATGTTTTTGCCACTGGGAACTCCTGCACTGGACCAGCTAGCTCCTATACTGGATCCAACAGGCTCAGTGATGGCACTTGCACATGTATGAATTTCTTAGTCCTGGTTTGATATGAGAAACCTCAGGACACCTCAATCATTCTCATTTTGGTCACTGTCATTCAAAGGCGGCAGCTGAAATCAGATATAAATGTTCTTCTTACAAAGGAATAGTCTCCCCACATCTTCCAAAATAAAAATTAAAACAAAGTATCCTAAAAGTAATTGCTCACATCATATTGTGTAAGAATTAGGTTTCCGACTCAGACTGAGCTGTAACAGAAAGAAGGAATTTTATTATGCAAACCAGGGCATTCTGAGAAACATGTTAGGCTGAGAAACTGCAGCAAGCCTGGTAAGTCTGTTCTGTTGAATCACTGCAGGATGTGATTTGTGCAATGCTC